CACACGCACAGCACAGCACAGCACAGCACAGCACAGCACAGCGCAGCACAGCGCAGCGCAGCACAGCACAGCACAGCACATCACGCATGGTGGTGCGGTCTCTATGCGTGGCAGCGTCGCAAGGTCTCTATGCGCTGCAGGCTCCCAGGGAGTGGCAGGCGTTGCATTTCCTCGACGCCACAGGCGGCGCGCGGGGGGTGGGGGCCCGATGCGTTGCAGGCTCCCAGGGCGCGGCAGGCGCGGCATTTCCTCGACGCCACAGGGGGTGCGCTGGGGATGGGGGCCTTGCGCGCTGCATGCTCCGAGGGCGCGGCAGGCGTGGCATTTCCTCGACGCCACAGGGGGCGCGTAAGGGGTGGGGGCCCCATGCGCTGCAGGCTCCCAGGGCGTGGCAGGCGTGGCATTTCCTCGACGCCACAGTGGGTGCGCTGGGGGTGGGCGCCCTATGCGCTGCAGGCTCCCAGGGCGCGGCACGCGTGGCATTTCGTCGACGCCACACGGGGTGCGTTGGGTGGGGGCCCTATGCGTTGCAGGCTCGCAGGGCGTGGCAGGCGCGGCATTTCCTCGACGCCACAGGGGGTGCGCTGGGGGTGGGGGGCCTATGCGCTGCAGGTTCCCAGGGCGTGGCAGGCGCTGCATTTCCTCGACGCCACAAGGGGTGCTCCGGGGGTGGGGGCCCCATGCGTTGCAGGCCCCCAGGGCGTGGCAGGCGTGGCATTTCCTCGACGCCACAGTGGGTGCGCTGGGGGTGGGGGGCCCTATGCGCTGCAGGCTCCCAGGGCGTGGCACGCGTGGCATTTCGTCGGCGCCACACGGGGTGCGTTGGGGGTGGGGGCCCTATGCGTTGCAGGTTCGCAGGGCGTGGCAGGCGCGGCATTTCCTCGACGCCACAGGGGGTGCGCTGGGGGTGGGGGGCCTATGCGCTGCAGGCTCCCAGGGCGTGGCAGGTGCTGCATTTCCTCGACGCCACAAGTGGTGCTCCGGGGGTGGGGGCCCCATGCGTTGCAGGCCCCCAGGGCGTGGCAGGCGTGGCATTTCCTCGACGCCACAGAGGGTGCGCTGGGGGTGGGGGGGCCCTATGCGCTGCAAGCTCCCACGGCGTGGCAGGCTACATTTCCTCGACGCCGCAAAGTGTGCGCTGGGGGTGGGGTTGGTGGGTGGGATGGGGTGGGTGGGGGGGGGAGGGGGGGGCAATGCTCTGCGGGCTCCGAGGGCGCGGCAGGCGCGGCATTTCCTCGGCGCCACAGGGGGTGCGCTGGCGGGTGCACTATGCGTTGCAGGCTCCCAGGGCGTGGCAGGCGTTGCGTTTCCTCGACGCCACAGGCGGTGCTCTGGGGGTGGGGGGCCTTATGCGCTGCAGGCTCCCAGGGCGTGGCAGGCGCTGCATTTCCTCGACGCCGCAGGGAGTGCTCCGGGGGTGGGTGCCGTATGCGCTGCAGGTTCCCATGGCGTGGCAGGCGCTGCATTTCCTCGACGCCGGTGCGCTGGGGGTGGGGGGCCTTATGCGCTGCAGGCTCCCAGGGCGCGGCAGGCGTCGCATTCCCTCGACGCCAGGGGGGCGCGCTGGGTGTGGGGGCCCTATGCGCTGCAGGCTCCCAGGGCGTGGCAGGCGTGGCATTTCCTCGACGCCACAGGGGGCGCGCTGGGGGTGGGGGCCCCATGCGTTGCAGGCTCCCAGGGCGTGGCAGGCATTGCATTTCCTCGACGCCACAGGGGGTGCGCTGGGGGTGGGGGCCCTATGCGCTGCAGGCTCGCAGGGCGTGGCAGGCGTGGCATTTCCTCGACGCCACAGAGAGCGCGCTGGGGGTGGGGGCCCTATGCGCTGCAGGCTCGCAGGGCGTGGCAGGCGCGGCACTTCCTCGACGCTGCAGGGGGCGCGCTGGGGGTGGGGAGCCCATGCGCTGCAGGCTCCCAGGGCGCGGCACGCGTGGCATTTCCTCGACGCCACAGGGGGTGCGCTGGATGCGCTGCAGGCTCCCAGGGCGTGGCAGGCATTGCATTTCCTCGACGCCACAGGGAGTGCTCCGGGGGTGGGTGCCGTATGCGCTGCAGGTTCCCATGGCGCGGCAGGCGCTGCATTTCCTCGACGCCGGTGCGCTGGGGGTGGGGGCCCTATGCGCTGCAGGCTCCCAGGGCGTGGCAGGCGTCGCATTCCCTCGACGCCAGGGGGGTGCGCTGGGTGTGGGGGCCCTATGCGCTGCAGGCTCCCAGGGCGTGGCAGGCGTGGCATTTCCTCGACGCCACAGGGGGCACGCTGGGGGCGGGGGCCCCATGCGCTGCAGGCTCCCAGGGCGTGGCAGGCATTGAATTTCCTCGACGCCACAGGGGGTGCGCTGGGGGTGGGGGCCCGATGCGTTGCAGGTTGTGGCCTGCCAAGATTTGTAAACACGTTGGCTCAAGCCGGCTCGGCGCGCCTCTGCTCTCACGCAGGCGCGCTCCTGTAGTCCTAGTTCAAAGCACCGCCTTGCCTACGCGCGGCAGCCATGCCCCCCCAAATCGCCGTGGACACGCTGCCACCTCCATGTTTGGCGATGAAGACTGCACTGGTTCAGATGAGCGACGACGGTCTGCGAACACACGCGACTTAAACTAGGTATGCGGGGTTCCTCGGTAACGTAATTTGTTTGATTTTGGGAAGCGCCCCAGCGGAAGGCACCCAGTCTGGGAATCTTCAACCGTGCTAAATGCAGCGATTGGGGTGTCAGCGCAGCGAATCAGCGTCACTGGCACGCCCTGATAATCTGAATTCGCCCCAGAAACCAGTCCTGGGACTTCGCCGCAGCAATCTAAAGTGACTGTTGCACCCGCGCCATCGTAAACCGCGCAAGAACCGAAAGAGCGTGTTCTACTGCTGCTGGCGGAAAGCCGGGGGAGGGGTCACCGGGGGTTCCCAGCCCGCCCCTTACCCCCCCTCGAAAACCACGGGGGGATTGCTACCGGTCCCCCGAAGCCCCCCCCCAGTCTATCATGAAAAGGGGGGGACACTACCGGTTCGACCCCCCCTTTTCCCTGCCCTCGCCGCCGGCAAACGATTCCCGCTCTTCGCGACAGTTGGACAATGGTGGGGATATTGGGACAGTGGTGGGGACGGTGGTGGTGCGGACAGTGGTGTAGGGACAGTGGGACAGTGATGCGGACAGTGGGACAGTGGTGGGGACAGCGGCGAAGGGACAGCGGGACACTAGTGGGGACAGTGGGACAGTTGTGGGAAAGGCAGTGGTGGGGACAGTGGTGAAGGCGGTGGTGAGGACGGTGGTGGGACAGTGGTACAGTGGGGAGAGCGGTGGCGGGAACAGGGGGGACAATGGGACAGCGGTGGGGACTGTTGGACACGGGTGCGGACGGTGGTGGTGGGGACAGTGGGACAATGATGGGGACTGTTGGACAGGGGTGGGGACGGCGGTGGTGGGGACAGTGGTGAGGGCAGTGGCGAAGACGGTGGTGGGACAACGGGACAGAGGTACACTGGGGACAGTGGCGGGGACAATGGGAAAACTGGGACAGCTCAGTTGGACAGTGGTGAGGGCAGTGGTGAGGACGGTGGTGGGACAATGGGACAGAGGTACAGTGGGGACAACGGTGGGGACAGTAGGACGGTGGAACAGTGGGGACAGCAGGACGGTAGGGGGGACCGTGGGGAAATTGGGGACCGTGGGACCGTGGTGGGAACAGTGGTGGGGACAGTGGGGACACTGCGACAGTGGTGGGGGCAATTGTGGGGACAGTGGGGACGGTGGCAAGAACAGTAGGGACAGTGGTGGTGGGCACAGCGGTGCTGGGGACAGCAGTTGGGGATGTGGTGCGGACGGTGGTGGGGACACGGGAGTCGTTTGCCGGCGGTGGGTGGGGGGGGTTCGAGCTGGTAGTGACCCCCCTTGTTTTCTAAAGGGGGGATCGAACCGGTAGTGCCCCCCCCGGTTTTTTGGAGGGGGGGGTCGAACTTATAGTGACTCGGGGGCCCCCAAAAGGTGTGGTGACCGCGCCGTGTGGTGAGTCGGTGGGGATTCGGAGTGATTGCACGGTTTTGGGACTCGGGTCCCTCTCCGAGGACGTCTCGGGCGACAGGGGCCTCCAGGGTCCCAAAACTGTACGGTGACGGACCGTGCGGTGAGGTTTTGGGGGATTTCGAGGTCACCGCACGGTTTGTCACCGCACCGGTTCGGGACTCCAAAGTGACCCCCCCGGGTTTTCCGGAGGGGGGGGGAGGGTTAAGAGAAGGGGGCAAGAGGAAAGGGTGGGGGTCCAGCAAGGGGGGGGATTTTCGAAGGGGGGTGGACCCGCGGGTTCCGGAGGAAAGGAGGGGGGGGGGGGGGGGGGGGAAATTTTCCACAGTAAAGCGGCAGTGGGTCACGCTCTCCCCAAGAACCCCAATTCTTTGAGCTTTAGCTACTAAACAAATCACTGAAGAGTTCCACACTGTGGAAACGAATATGCGCGGCGCTAACGTGAGAGCCTAGGGTTGAAGTGGAACCGCCCTCCATATTTGAAGCTGTAGTATATTTCCAGGCGAATGTACGCAGCGCCCAGGGGAGAGCCACATTTCGAAGAAGGAGCCGCCCCCCTATCATTGAAGCTGTCGAGAATTTGTAAGACGAATGCGCGCGGTGCTACGGCGAGATCGCCGTGAATTGTACGACGAAAGCACGCGGCGCTGTGGCGAGATCAGCATTTCGCAAACGACGAAGCTGTGACAAATTCGAAGTTTGGGATCATACTTCCGAAAGACGTTTCAAGCGAGAGGCCTGGCCCGCCCCACAGACACGTTTGGGGGCGCGACGGGGAGGAGTTATTTAGAAAAAGCGGGATGGAGGAAGAAGATGAGGAGGAGGATGAGGAGGAGGCGGACGCGGACGAGGAACAGGAGGAGGAGGAGGACGAGGAGGGCGAGGACGAGGAGGAGGAGGAGCAGAAGAGTAACGTGAGGAGGAGGAGAAGAGTCGACGGCCTGCTCGTGGTATCTCCCAGGGGCGCTGCCCACCCGCCGGGGGCGGGGGGGTCAGGAGAGCGCGCTGAACGACGTCGCGGTTCACACTCTGATCGAGAACATGTCTCCGCCCTAGCCGTGCGGCCGGCCCCTGGACCGCCAGCGTCTTGCACAAGTTTGGACGGCAGTTGTTGACGACGTTCGCGTCTCACGGGGCGCGTTTTGGGCCCTGTGGCCCAATGCGTGCGAGTGTCATTGACGGCGCGCAATGCGTGCGAGTGTTGGGTGTTGGGTTCGAGAGTTTGGGATCCCACGTATCCATTGGATTGACCAGGTTGTCCGAGACCACGGCATTCGGGAATCCAATGCATGCGCATAGTATCTTAAGAGTGCATGCCTGGCGTACGGAGGGAATTGCGGACGGGAACAAGAGCCACACCACCGAGCAGGCACGATCTTTTTTCGAGCGTGACGAGGCGCGGTCCAGAGGGCGGTCAAACGTGACGGCTAGAAGATGTGCTTGGCGTGCACGCTCGGAGGGCGAGTTGTGCGCGCAGGGCACGCGGGCAGTCCAGAAAAGATTGCCGCAAGGGGCCGCGAGGGCAGCTGCACACCCCGTGGGCCCGGATCCCAGGGGGCCGTCTGCCTCCCAGGTTGGCGCGCAGGTGCGCGGCGATGGGCGGGTTCCGCTCGGCGCGAGGCGGGAACTTGGGGGGTCCCGAGGACTCCAGGTCACGGAGAGGAGGAAAAGGTACCCATACCGCTACCCGACTAGGAGGCCCCCGTCGCCACCGCTGGATTCGCATCGAAATCCTGGTCAGAACGCGCCCTGGGAGCAGTCCGGGAGTAGCGGTATGGGTACCAATGGGTTTCCACAGTCATTTCGAGGGAAAAGGCACGGTGAGCATGACCAAGATGTCGCCGTGTCCTGTCGACGCCAACCTTGGTCATGGCCAGCTTTGGCCGTCGCCGACTCGCGAGGATGGTCCACGAATCGAGGATGGCAAATATTCGAAGACGAACAAACTGGATAAACACAGAATGTTGGAGCTCCGCGCAGATTTCTTGGATCGGCGCTGGACCCCCATCCCTGGCGCGCCGAGCGCGCCATTGGCGGCGCCAGAGTTGCCGCCTGGGTTGCCCAGCGCCGGTCCGAGAAATGCGCGCGGCGCTCTAAAAGTTTATGTTCATGCCACTTTTTGTCTCCCTGAAGATGGACGACGACCAAGGTCGGCACCGACGTTTCCGCGCCCAGCCTTCTGGTCGTGGTCGTCGTTGTCTCTCCCTCCTCCTCCCCCCTCCCTCCTCCCTCCTCCCTCCCTCCTTCCCCCTTCTGCTCCGCCCTCCCCATCCTCTCCTCCCCCCTCCTCCTGCGAATACTGGGCCTGAGCACACCCTGGTGCTCGCACAGTTTCTCCCTGAGTCTAACCCTTTTCCACTGGCACGGACCCCGCGGGCGAGCCTCTTGATAGGCTTATAAGACTGGTCTGAACCAGAACGGCATTCGCAAGCACGGAGCACGCACGGGCGGAGGCACCCCTCATCTCCCCCACTCCCTGAGCATCAGGCGAAACATTTAGGATCCACATTCACTCAGAATTCTCGTTGTAGGCTGCGTCTGCATCTGGTAGATGTACTGTCTCGATCTTCACGAAGCGTCCCTCCTCCGTGACTGCACTGGTCTGGGTCATTTTGTCACGTAGATGTTCACATCCAGCTGGCATCTCCATCCTGCACGGCGGTTGTTTATTATTGTCGGCGTAGCAGCGCTATAATTCTGAGAATTGGGTGGTCATTGCATCCTCAATCGAAGCTGCACACATGATCTGGATGTAGTTCGTGTTGTTGTGGCAGCTCAGCGTCAGCTTTGAGCCTCGATTCTGACGGAGGCCATTGTCTCGGACGCTCGCTGGGATCTTCACCACCATCCTCGTCGAAGCCGACACACAACTCAGCATCCCAGGGTAGCCCGTCTCCGCGTCCGTCAGGCTCTCCAGCAGGCTGCGTACGGTTTTCGGGCAACCCGTCGCATGGAAACCTACCATCTGATCGATTTGACAGCAGGCTACTGACAGGGACTGGGGTTGAGCTCGAAGAGGGCCTGGCGGCATTTGAGGACATTCGTCTGCCAATTGATACACAACATATTTCACGCATACCCGTAGCAAGTCATGGGCCTTTGCCTTCTCTTTTGTCAATGCATCTGCCACCATCACCGATGTGGGGCCCTACCTAAGAAAGCCTCCGAAGCTCTGAAGAGCCTGTCGGAATATCATGAGTTCCACGGCAAACCTCTTGTCCTCGAGAGCCCTTGGGGTTCCAATATTGTTGATGTGATCATGGGCGGACTTTGCATCGATAGTGGTCACAGCTTCGAATTTGCATTGAAACTCATACATGCTTTCCGGAGTAAGCTGTGGAAACATACTCCTGGCGAAGAAGCACATCACTCATTCCATGTGACAGATCCCGTCCGTCAACGTTGAAGTTTCCCTTTCCCACTGATGATCGTATAGCCCGTTTGAATATGTAATTCCTCCAGATCATAGGGTTCCATGGGGATATTTGTTTTTTCTGCATCACAGTCAGCACGTAGCCTCCCTGGGTCCTCCGGAGTCCCTCATTTACACCTTGGTAAAGTCCGAATGAATCATGATTCGAATATTTTCCAGCAGAATGGGAACGCAACGAATCGTCAGGTCCTTGTGGTGTTGATGAGCCCGGCGCACCAGCATTGTTTAGATCCTTCGCAGTCGGACGTGGCAACAATTGCTGGTTCTTGATGACTTGGCACGACAAGCCGGCTTCGACTGACCGGCCAGCCAATTGCCAGCTTGGTTCATCAAATAAATGAGGACGCTTCTTTCGGCATGGCATAACTGTTATTTGCTGCGTTTCGTTTCAGCTTCGCTGGTTCCATCTCCTCGGTGTCGGTTTTCTGCGACTGAACAATCGCGCCGTCGGATGTTTGATGTAACCAGAACCCAGTAAACGCCCCTGAGCCATGCCTCAATGTTTTCTCCCAGGAAACCGCTGTTTGAGTTTATCGATAGTCGCCCTCCATTGTTCTCGTCTGCGTCCTCCCACCGCGTCGTCAACACGCTTGCCAGGCACGCCACGCAGCGAACCAGGAGGCCCTCGAGCAGAGCCCATGGGAACGCACGCTGGTCGCCCTGGCATTGACTGACAGCGGCCCAGGCTCGAACATCATAAACAGACATGGATCGACAGGACGGGCCACGAATACAATTTCTTTTGCAAAGCGTTTAAACGCTTAGACCGCAGTCGTACGCAGGCGCGACGGCCGCGCCATCATCGGCGCCATCCGACACCAGGGGCGCTGGCGCAGGAAAGTCCTGGAGGTTCCGCCAGACGAGGCAGCTTGGGAACAGGAGCCTTATCCTCCGGCTCTGCCTCCTCAGGATACGCTTTTGCCTCTGCGCGCACACTCTTCGAGATTGCGCAGGGTGTCTTGGGCCGCCTGCAGGCGCGCGGCGCGGCCGCGGAAGGGAACACTCGTGCTCGGAACTGAAGTCGGATCGCTTTGTGGGGCCACTGGGGTCGAGTCGGTCGGTGGCCTCGCAGCTTCTCCGGGGCCTTTTACCGCCTCCCCCTGCATTCTTGGAACCCGCCAGGCCTGGCCTCCCTGTCCCTCCTCCTGCTCCAGCGGGCCTTTTCTTCTGGAAGTCTCGGGGCCTTCGTGATGTCGTCGAAGTGCCGCCCCGAACAATTATCCAGGTCCACCGTCGTGGTTCGCGGTTCGGATTCAACAGGTATCCGTGCCGTTTCTCCGAGGCCGCTCCACGCATCTGTTCTGGGGAGCTATCAACAGACTCCCTTGCAGGGCCACCCAAGTATTACACCTGACTGGTCCAACGCAGATACAGATACCAGGGCGCCAACGATGCGATGATTGTTTGTCCTCTTCATCTTACGCCAGACGGCCGCCGCGTTTCCGGCCTGAAAGAACGCGACGCAGGCGCGACGAGAGTCCAAAGCAACACGGCAACTTTCTTCTCGCTGTGGGCTAGAATCACTCGGCGTTCCATCGCTCGAATGCAGGCCGCCCTCGCAGCGCGCAGCTGTTAGCATTCATCTCCAGGTTATCGCGAAGCAAGTCTTCTTGAATATTTGGGTTTCGGCCGAGAACCAGTTGATTGGGCGACGCCCCATTGACATTCAATGTCGAGTTCTGTTCCCTGGAGATGAGCAACGCACTCTAGCCAGCCATTCTTGTCTTGGGGCTGAAGCTCGCCAATCATAATCTGCAACCAATGTTCCAGCCACTTCCCCCTCACCCTCACCTGTCCATTCCGTTCCTCTGCCATTCTTGCCGCGCCCACAATTACCGCTCTTCTCCGCTCCATAGCGCCTTGAAGCTCCCCTGACACACGAGCATTCGCCGCGCCCTCTCTCTGCCGCGCGGGCCTCGTGCGCGGTCGAGCCCAGTTGTCCTGGCACGCACGCAGCAGCGCAAGTGGCATCTCGGTCTCTCCCAGGTGGAGCGGCGCCAACGAAGCGATGAGGCACCGCACGCAATATTCAAATATTTCCGTCGTTCGCCGGGAGATCGTGCGGTAGTTCTTTGATATCCATATATAGCTACAGATGTTACGGGTGGTTCTAGAGTCGGAGGCGCGCTGTGTCTGGCTATCCTTGGTTGTTTCTTACTTAGACTCGCAGTCATCGCAATGGAAATGTGTGACCTGTCGGATCGCCTCGGGACTCGCAATAGCATGTCGCGTGCGCGGGGACATCGTCGCCGTCGTAGCATGTCCGAGCTTCGCGCGTAAGCTCCAGAGCGCCGCCCGACGCTATGAGCGATGCCCATGCATACATGATGTCCCAGGAGATCAAGGGCATCAGCTCCTCCATCAACGAACAGACGTATATTTCCACGATTCAGTCTTTGGTGAATAATACCTTGAAGATCTGGCATCGCAGGAACGCGCCCCTTGGGAGTGTCCCCGCACTGGCCGACCAGGACTTCGCCCTGCGGAATTTGCAAGCGAAGATCTGTCAGGCCATCTACGAGGAGGGCGATAAGTGGACGCCGCCCGTCGTGAAGACAGGGACACCTGCGGGAGGGGGTGATGCTGCTGAGAAGTTTGATATCTATACTC